AAGCAGGCTGAGCAAGCCATGGAGAGCAAGCCAGTAAGCAGCATCCCTCCATGGCCTCTGCATCAGCTCCTGCCTCCAGATTCCTGCCCTGCTTGAGTCTCTGCCCTACCTGCTTTCCATGATGAATTGTGATACAGAACTGTAAGTGAAATTAACCCTTGCTTCTCCAAGTTGTTTTTGGTCATGGTGTTATACCACAGCAATAGAAACACTGACTAAAACAGAAAGTGGTACCAGGACATTACTGTGACCGACGTGACCATGTTTGGGGGAGGATTATGGAAGGACTTTAGAACTTTGGGCTAGAAAAGCCATCAAGCATTCTTACCTTCATGAGCTGTTTGGCAGGATCTTGGAAGAGGAGTGTACTGGGAGATATGCAGGTGACAGGCCTGGCTTCTGAAGTTCCAGAGGGAAGTTTGAGAGTCCCTTAAAGACTTGATCAAGGCTATTACATATTTCGAAATAAAAACCCATGGTTCTGGTTAGCTGGGGCTGAAGACTTGACTGTGATTCGCCACTGAAGTGAAACCTTTGTTGGGACAGTTGGTCAGCTGGAGGTGGGAAATTAGCGGTGATTAACAAGAGACCAGCTGCCGTGAGGTAACATCTTCTGGGAAGCATTCCCTGAGAGTCAGCACACAGAAGCACCAGAGGTGGCCAAGGTCACACCTTGTGCTGCAGCTGAACTTGGTCTTGTGTAAATTTCTCCCAGGTGTTACTGGTTTTGAAGGTGGGAAGGGCCATGGAGAGCAGCTGAGACTTGGCACTGTGAGAGGCCGATGGTGCAGGTGCAGCCTCAGCAGCACTTGAAGGCTCAGGACTGAAGGGGTCGTGGAAGAGAAGACTTTGGCACCAGAAAGGGAGCCCAGGGGAGGCTGTTGATGAAAGAACAGCCCAGTTGTAGAGGAAGACCCCAACATTTTGAAGACACCAGTACCATGGCACAGAGTAATTTTTTAAATAAGGGAGAAAGAAAAGAAAAACACAAGGACAAAGTTCTGGAAGAACACTGTCTGCTTTCAAGACTTCTAAAAGCCACATTACGACACAAAAGACAGACAGACAAAGCATCAGATAAAGCAGGACCACAAGATACCTAGACATATGGACAGCTGATTTCCATGAAGGTGTAAGGCCTCATGGCCAGGCATCTAACCTTATGTCTATAATCTTAGAAGGAAGGAGACCAGGGAGGCAGAAGCAGGTGGATCTCTATGAGTTTGGGTCCAGCCTGGTCTATGTAGTGAATTCCAAGCCAGTCAGACTCTTTTTAAAAAGACCTCAAGTTTGAGGACAGACTAAGCAATTTAGTGGACTCTGTCATGTGTAGGGGTGTGTGGGGGTATGTGGTGTGTGTGGGGTGTGTGTGTGTGTATGTGTGTATATGTGTGTGGGGGTAGGGGTGTATGTATGTGTGTGTGTGTATGTGTGTGTGGTGTGTGTGTGTGGTGTGTATGTGTGTGGTGTGTGTGTGTATATGTATGTGTGTATATGTGTGTGTGGTGGGGGTGTATGTATGGGTGTGTGTGTATGTGTGTGTGGTGTGTGTGTGGTATGTATGTGTGTGGTGTGTGTGTGTGTATGTATGTGTGTATATGTGTGTGTGGTGGGGGTGTATGTATGGGTGTGTGTGTATGTGTGTGTGGTATGTGTGTGTGTGTGGTGTGTATGTGTGTGGTGTGTGTGTGTGTGTGGAGCTCTTACCTAGCACATGTGAACCAATGTTGCTCACAAATGGACAGAGACTGGAGTTCAAATTGTTTGAAGTTTGGGGTTACCCTGGGTTGGGACCACCCCTGAGTGATGTCATACACTTAGCCCCACCTCTCCTTTCCGTCGGGGCCCAATTGGGGTGCGAGAAGTTTCCCATCTAAACCAGCTCATTAACTGGTTCACAAGTATTTTCTGAGCAGCCGCTGTGCTGGATCCAACAATACAGAGAGAGAACTCCTGCCCATAGAGCCAAGGCTAGCCCAGGGCCCAGGTGTAGTCACAGCCCAAAGCACAAGGGCATCTGTGAGACGGGCTGAGCTGTGCCTGGCACTCGACGACCACTAAGTGGAGATTGGCTGCTGCTCTGCTGAGACAGGCTCCTGAGTGAGTGAAGGGGCACAGCTCAGGCTAACTGCTCCTTCTTCCCCGTGCTCCAGGTTCCACACCCTCTGGACCCATGGCTGGTTTTTCTGGTTTAGTCTGTAGAGCAATTTGCATGTTTCCTTGAAGAACCCTCTGAAGCTTTACAGCCTGTCCTGGGACTTACAGAGAGGGACACCCACGCCCACGTTGGCTCTCAAGAATTGGGTAAGGACTCTTGGGGTTTCTTTTGCTGCAGATCTTTGGCATTGTCTGTTTGTATCTACTGTCCCCATGAGGGGAGCCATTGTCTCTTTCTGTCATAGCATGGTCACCTCTTTGTCCCTACCAGACAGCTCGGTGTCTGCTCCCCGGGCAAGTGCCAGTGCATGCTTCCTAAATCAATAGCTGATTACTTTGTAGTGGGGATGGATACTTAACCATTGACTTGAGACCTAAGAAAAGACCTTTATGTTTCTCTACATCCTCCTAATGGAATTCTTTTGACTGTTATTTCAAAACAATGTCCGCTATAAAGCAAGCTACAGAACTAACACTGGGAGGTCCCATATCCTCTCATCCTGGGTAGCCACTGCCTTTCAACATGAGAAAAGCCTTCCCTGGACCACTGGGCCTGGTCACCATGACAACGCCCACCCAAAGTCTCATCAGTTGGGCCATCCTCCATGCCCAGCCACTAACAGAGCTTTGGCTACCCTGGTTTTTCAAAATCCTACCTTTTTCAAAATCTTTCTTCTACCTTAGGATCTGTCACATACTGTCCCCTTTGTCCAGGGCATGCCCCTCCAGCCTGCCCACCCCATCTGTCTCCTCTGCCCAGGACACGCCCCTCCAGCCCGCCCAACCCCATGTGACTGGCTCCCTCCCATCCGCTTGCGCCTTGCTGGATTACATTGTTCCATCAGCCATCCCTTCTGAGTGTTTCCCGACTTTAGTGCAAGGTTAAGGGTGTAGATTCCACAACTAGATCCGTGTATGAGTCTTGATTCCTTTCTATTCATTTCTTTTGTAAGATTTAAATTTTTTTATTTTATGCATATACGTATATGTACCGTGTGTGTGCAGGCCCCCATAGAGGCCACAAGAGGGCACCAGATATCCTGGGCTGGAGTTACAGGTGCTAGGAACGGAGCCTGGGTCCTAGGCAAGAGCAGTAAGTGCTCACTGATTGTGCCAGTATCCCACCAGCCCCCTTTCCCTTCTCACGTCTGTGACTTTGACCGAGTTGCTTGACAGTTGTGTCACTGAGTGTCAGTATGTTATCTGTGTCCTCACAGAATGAAAGCCCCTTCATTCTTCAGCAAGTGTGTTTGATACCTGCCGTAGTCTAAGCCATAGGAAGCTAAGGGCATACGCAAGGACTCCATCTGCCCTGAGGCTTACAGTCCTTGTGTACATACAGGTAAGCCAGTTTGGGAAAGCACACTCTGTAGTTTAAAAAAAAAAATTAAAAAATCCCGGCGTGGGGTTTCTACCGCCTTAGATCAGTTTTGTTCCTGGATGAAAAACACACACAGCCTTATATTTTAAATATGCCTTAGGCAGCACAATGTTGTTAGAATCTACTTTCGATATCCCCAGTTATCACCTACAATTCACTGTGTTCCATCTGGGCTGCTCCAAACCCAACTGGGCAGCCCTCTGGCCCACGTTCCCTTGGCTCTGAGCCCTGGTGGCCCTCCTCTCTCCTGCCCACTCTTATTCTATTCCATGGTGCTTTTTCTCCTCTTCTTCCTTCCTCTCTCCTTCCCTCCTTCTCCCTTTCTCTACCCATCCCCACTCTCGAACCTCCAGTCCCACCTTTCCCCTCCACTGCCCAATCACAGGCTCTGGTATTTATTGACCAGGTAAAATGGGGAGAAGGTTCACATGACATCACCTAAGTACATGATGGGGTGCCCTTGGGGGCAACCCCTCTTGAGGAAGCAGAATTAACATCAAAATACAAACAACATGGGCCAACCTACTGCAACACTCTTTTAGTTATAAATAAGCATTATTGAGGTACAGAGAGCAGGGTGCTGGCTGAGAGGGGCCAAGACACTTTCTGGTGGTCAGTGAAGGCTTCGCAGAGGAGGTGACGTTCAGACTGAGGCCAGATGTGATGTCAGGGGAGGGGAGTTCCAGGCAGGGGGCGGGGACCTGCAGAGGCTCAGAGAAGAGCAGCAGGCAGATGTGAGAGCAGAGAGGCAGCCATCATGGTGAGGCAGGGAGGGACAAGACAGGTACCAGATCATAAGATAGGGTTCTGCAGCAGACAGGAGTGGAGTGGAGCGTGGAAGCCAGTGGTTCTCAACCTGTGGGTCGCGACCCCTTGGAGTCACAGGTCAGATAATTTACATCGTGATTCATAACAGTAGCAAGATTACATTTATGAAGTAGCAGCATGAAGAACTGGATTAAAGGGTCTCAGCATTAGGAAGGTTGAGAGCCACTAATGGCACCCATCGCTGGGAAGCTTTTAAACAGGAGAGCGACAGGTTCAGTCCTGATGCAAAGGTCAGGAGCCCACTCTGTAGAGAATGCTTTGCACAGCAGGGCACTGTGGAGAAAGAGCCAGTGTGTTCAACCTGAGATTGGCTTTCACTGTACCTAGCACACTTCTCCCCAGTGATTAGGAGCAAGCAGGCACATGCTTGTCTGGTCACAGGCTGCCTTTTCTTCAGAGAACTTAATAGGTTCCCCAGATGCCAGCCTAGTACAGCACCATCTTGGGCTATCCCTGGATAATAGGTGTAATTACCACCGCCTGCAAATGGCACACAGCAGTGACTGCTGAAGCTGCTGACTGTGTGGCCCTCATCGTATGTGTGGCCCCTTACCCCACCTCCATGCTGACAGCCAGTCCTCAGGACCAGGCTGACTCGCTTGCCGTCTCCAGCCTAGGGTCCTGGAGCAGCCACTGGAGGCCAGTCTTACTGGGTGACTTCAGATGAGGTCTTCACCTCTCTGGTCTTCAGTTTCTCCATCTGAAACAAGGGAAGATGGATTCATAATGCCGGAGTAGAGGAGAGAAGAAGAGGTCTCAAGTCAAAAGTCCAAGTCAGGCCTATTTGCTCATTTAACACTGGGGAAGGAGCTCCGCCTCCCTGTGCCCATACCTCAGCTGTAGGAAGGACTCCTTCCGCCTCAGTCCCTACTCAACCTTGTGTGGAATTAAATAGATTAGAAGGTGCTTTGCCAACTGTGGTTCACTGATAAAAAATATAAATATTACAGAGTCCAGAGACTAATCGGTGTCCAATTTGTCCTAAATAAAGTTGATATTTAAGTGTACCCTTTTAAAAAAGTTGGATGCTTTTAACTGTTTTGCAAACATTATTGGCTGTGGACATATGAGAAAACATTTGTAAAAAGACATATATGTGTATTATATATGAGTTTATATATATATACATATACATATACATATACATATACATATACATATACATATACATATACATACAAACTTAGGGGCTAAGGGCTGTGGGATTGGCTGTTAGTTCTTCTATTCCATGGTGCTTTTTCTCCTCTTCCTCCTTCCTCTATCCTTCCCTTCCTGCCCAAGTTCTTAGAATCGTGGCCATTATTTAAAACAGAGTCCATCGCCCAGAGCATAGCCTAGGTTCTGTCAGTCTACCATTGCTGGCTGTGTGGCCCAGGTCCAGTGGCTTCCCCTCTGAGGCTGACTGTGGATGTGCAAACTGTGTATTATAGCCCTTCTTGCAACCTGGAGTCAGAGTCACAGTCCTGGCACCCAGGGACAGACAGCTTCATCTTCAAGACAAGGTCTGTGTATCCCAAGATGGCTTCCAGCTGCATCGCCTGAAGTGACTTTAAACTTGGGATCCCCCTGCCTCACCTCTGAGTGCTATGTTTTCAGGAGCATCTCCCACAGCTGGTTTGTACAGTACAGGGGATGGATCCAGGGGCAGGGGCTGCAGGGCAGGCACTCGGCTATATTCCCAGCCACTACTAGATTTTATTGTTTATTGTACCTGTACACTGTACCAGGCGCCAGTGAAACATTTCTTTGCTGTGTGTCCTAAGCATTCTTTTTTTTTTTTCAAGTCAGTTTCACTGTATAGCCCCAGCTAGCCTAGCTAGATCAGGCTGGCCTTAAACCCATGAGATCTTCCTACCTCTGCCTCCCCATGCGCTGTGATTGAGGCACGTGCTACCATGCCCAGCAGCGGTCATTCCTTTAACAAGCAATGTGTAGTGTGAGCCCTGGGCCCACCACACATGGGCTCTGTTGGTGACTGAGGAGTGGCTTTCCTGGGCAGCTACATAGTCATTTGTCAGGGACGACGAACATCAAGGTATAGCAAGGCTGAACTACCAGGGTCTCCTTCCTTCCTTCCTTCCTTCCTTCCTTCCTTCCTCCCTCCCTCCCTCCCTCCCTACCTCCCTCCCTCCTTCCCTCCCTCCCTTCCTTTCTTCTTCTTCTTCTTTTTTTTTGTTATTGTTTGTTTGTTTCTTGAGACATGATTCCTCTGTTGGCTGGCCTAGAACTCCCTCTATAGACCAGGCTGGCCTGGAATTCCCAGAGATCCACCTGCTTCTGCTTCTGCCTCCTGAGTGCTGGGATTAAAGGTGTGCACCAACACACTCAGCTACCAGGGTCTCCTTTTTATCAGGTGTGGGGGGGGGGGTCCTAGAGATCCATCAGGGTCTGAGCCTATGTTCTCATCCCAGACACTTGGGTGTCTGAGGTGCATCCTTCCCTGAATCATTCCTTCTGCTCCTTGCTTGGATGCCTGGTTGAGCTGGGCTTGCCCTGTTTCTCTTCTCTGCTTTTCTATGCCTCCCCTTTCCCCCAAGGAATGAGGGAGAACTTCTCTCTCTCTCTCCCTTCCTGCCGTCATTCATGCAGGTGTGGCACACACCAGGTGCACAGATCTAAGGTATAATACACCTCATGATGGTTGATCATATTTACATGTATGTGACCACCACCCAGGTCAAGAGAGGGAATGTTTCCCTCACCCAGAAGCCTCTGCACATCCTTTGGAGACACTGTTTCTCCTGCTGCTGCTGTTTACTGTTTACCTATGTGTCTATGTCCTATGAACAGGACCCAGTGTGTGCATGAGACCCCTGTGTATGCATGAGACCCCTGTGTGTGCATGAGACCCCTGTGTATGCATGAGACCCCTGTGTGTGCATGAGACCCCTGTGTATGCATGAGACCCCTGTGTGTGCATGAGACCCCTGTGTATGCATGAGACCCCTGTGTGTGCATGGACCCCTGTGTATGCATGACACCCCTGTGTATGCATGAGACCCCTGTGTATGCATGAGACCCCTGTGTATGCATGAGACCCCTGTGTATGCATGAGACCCCTGTGTATGCACGGGATCCAGTGTATGGCTCTCTGCTAGTTGTGTGTGGTTTGTGGGTTGTGTCTCTGTTATGATGGTTCCCTCCAGGGCTCATTCTTTTTCTTTGCTGTGTACTGTTCCATCAATAGTCATAGGACTCAGTCTCCACCTTCTGCTGTGGGTGATCATTTGGGCCGTTTCCATTTGGGAACCATGGTGACTTCTTGGTGCCCATAGGGGGGCTGGTTCTAGAACTACTCCTAGACATCCGAGTGTGACAATGCTCAAGTGGCCTTATCTAAAGCATCATAGTAGTCACATGTAACCTGCACAGCACATCCGAGGGGGACTTTGAGTCATCTCTAAATAGCCTATGTGTGTAGCTGTTACTCTGAACAGTTAGGGGATAAGGAATACATACATACATACATACATACATACATACATACATACATACATGTATATACATGCATACATACATGTATATACATGCATACATACATAATACATACATACATACATGATGTATTCTTGTGTCTGCACATGTAAATGCTGTATGTGGAGGCTGAGGTTGACCTCAGGTGTTTTCCTTAATCCCTTTCCACCTTATTCTTTGAGACAGTGTCTCTCCCAGTGAACCCGGACCTCAGCAGCTTAGAGTTAGGATGGTTGGACAATGAACTCCAGATACGTGCCTTCCCTTACATTGCCTAGGCTGGCCTTGAACTCACAGAGATCTGTCTGCCTCTGTCTCACAAATGCTGGCATTAAAGGCCTGCACCGCCAGTCCCCAGTCCATGTGTGAACAGACCTGATCATAGTGGTCTGGCTTGTAATCCCAGCATTGGACGCAGAGATAGAAAGAGATCGAGGTTATCTTCAGCTATGTAGCAACTTTGGGATCAGCCTGGGCTACATGAGACTAGTCTCAAAACAAAACAAGATATGAATAGAAACCATCATTTTAGTGACACTAATGTGCTAGTCTTTGCTGACTGGGAGCTTACACTCCTCCTGTCTCAGCCTTCCGAGTGCTGGGATTACAGGCAAGGCCTCTACAGTTAGTTTATAAGACATGACTTCTGTGTCTTCTAGGAACCTCCCCCCACCCCAAGCATCTCACTTGGATTCTCTCTTGGAGGGGCTGGGAATGGCCACATGGAACAGGTCACACCCAAGGCAGCCCGTGGCACCAGAGCCAGCTGCAGAAGGGGATTCCCAGCAGTCCCTGGGCCAAGAGCTCTCGGAGGCCAACCGCTTCGCCTATGCCGCCCTCTGTGGCATCTCTTTGTCACAGCTGTTTCCAGAACCTGAGCAAAGGTGAGCTTTTCTGTCTCTCAGAGGTAAGGCCAGGCCTCTTCAGGGAGGTGACTCCCACAGCCAGTCAGCTCCCAAGTCCCACAGATAAACCCAAGCCTTGGGGCCCATCCTTGCCTCTGGGAATCTCAGCCCATAGGAGGATGAGGTACCTCTTGTTCAGTTATCTCTCATGTATGCTGTCCCAAGCATCTTTTGCGCTCCTATGGGATGCCAGGCATGATTTCAGTTCATGGGAGACATTGTGTATGCGACAAATGAGACAGACCCCATCCCTGCCCTCCAGGAGGTCACTGTCCAGAGAGGACAAGAGATCTATTCATTCATAAAATATGTGTTTATTGAGCATTTGCTATGTGCTGGGCGTAGTGCCAGCCATATTGATGAAACTGAAAAGCATGAGCTCTCGGAATGCTTAGTCCCAGGAGACACCCCCGACAGATGTGACAGTGGCAAATAGAGATGGGGGGCATCGTGGGGACACGGGAATGTTAGGTGCCTATATGTATTTAATGTCTGTCACCGATGCAACCTACCAGGTGCGGGCTTAAGTCACACGTTGGTGGCAGTGTAGTGGGGTGGTTAGGAGCCTGAGCTTCAGTCTGCAAGGATGGGGGTGGTGCAGGGTTTGGGCACTCGAAACGTGGCATGGAGGGAGGGCACAGGGTGGAGCTGATATGGGAACCTTCTTACTGTGGGGATGAGGCAGAACAGGAGCTGATGGGCTCCAGAGTCTGAGGAAGGAAAGAGAGCCCAGGGGCGAGAGATGGCACTGAGAAAGCAGCAAGAGTGTGCCGTTCCCCCAAACACTCTGTGACTCTTGAATGTACTACCTGCCAGCCTAGGGTTGCTTCTGAGTGGGTTTCCCCAACCTACCCTCATCCCATGGGGCAACTGAATGTCTTCCCCACTGATCTGTGTGGGGCATGTGGCCACCTCCCCTGGTCTCCAGGGGAATGCTTCCCAGACTTGCCACCCCTGTACCCTGAGCTCCTTGGAAGGCAGGTGCCACCTTGGAATCACAGGACCTTCCCAAACTTCAGTGGAGCCCTGGCCCTTAGTGAAGTCCCTGAGAAAATGACAGCAGTGGTTGGCTCGGGGAGCAAGGGAGCCTTCCATGGCTGCACCTTCAGCTCTCGTCACGTCCTAACTCTGATACTTTCCAGTCTCCTGTGACTTTGGGAGGTTGACTGAAGCTGGGTGAGGACCACCAGTCTGGCTCTGCATCTGAGAGATAGCTCAGTGCCTAGCACACAGTAGGTGCTCCGTACCTGGTAATGGGCTCTTACTAACTCTACCTATGGCCTCTGTCTAGCAGTGAGAAACATCTTGGATATTCCATCCCCAGGTGTCTCAGTCACTTTCCTATTGCTGTGATAACATGACCAAGACAGCTTATAAAAGAAAGTGTTTGGTTGCAGTTTCGGTTTCTGAGGGTTAACGTTCACAATTGCAAAGCAAAGACAGGGTGACAAGGACAGCTGGGGGCTCGCATCTCAGAGCACACTGGGGCTGTCAGGAGGCTCTGAGATCTCACAGCCCACCCCCAATGGCACACCTCTTCCAACATGGCCATACCCCCTAACCCTTCCCCAAAGGCCACCAACTGGGGACCAGGTGTTCATATGCCTGAGGAACATCTCATTTAAACCAGACAAGCCCCTACCCATCTCCAGGGGAGTTCAGCTCAATATTCTCTGTCCCTTACGTTTACCCAGCCTGGGAAGCCACCATCTTTCCAAAAGCTCCCTTAAACAGATAAGCTGGATACCCCACTACTACCTAATAAACTGAGTGCATCTTGAGAAGGACCTGATGAACCCCACCACAGACCTGTTCTGACACCAGTAAGAGGGTACAAGGATGTGAATTCTGTCCCCATGTCCCCAGCATTCTCCTTGGGCTCCCCGTTTCCTCATCTCAGTTTCCCATGCTGTGTTCCATATGAATTTTAAAGCAAAACACATTAAAAAAAAAAAAAGCCTCTGTCTTTTTAACTCCCAGATAGGCTGCTGTTGGTTTCCCTTATCTTTCAAAAACAGTTGGTGGCCGATTTTGTCCTCATGGGACATCAAAGCTAGTGTCTTGACTATTTACTTCTTATCTGTCCTGAAGGATGCTTCTTACAGTTGATTTGATTTATTCAAAACGTAGAGCTGGGGGCAGGGACGACGTGCAGCAGGAGAGTGCCTGCCTAGCATGAGGCTCAGTCCCAGCACTGCAAAAAGAAAGACATGAATGAATAAAAGAGAGACCAACAAAAATAAAACCAAAGAAACAATGTAGTGCCAGATACAGCAGCTCCAGGCCCAACCCTCTATCCTGCGGCACACTTAACGATTTTTAACGTCAGCTCTCAGGGGGCTGAGGCAGGAAAATCACAAGTTCAAGACCAACCTGAGCGATATACTAAGACCACAGCTCAAAAAAACAAACAAACAAAAAAGTCAAAACTAGTAGGGTAAACTAAGTTCAGCACAAACTCCTTCTGCCAAGGCTCAGGTATTTTTGGTTCTCGGGCTGTGGTCTGTGTTAGTTACTTAACCTATCTGTTGTAGCCCCCAGTGGCTACAATAAGAACATGGCTATGTGGGGGCTGGTGAGATGGCTCAGTGGTTAAGAGCACTGACTGTACTTCCAGAGGTCACGAGTTCAAATCCCAGCAACCACATGGTGGCTAACAACCATCTGCAATGATATCTGATGCCCTCTTGTGGGGTGTCTGAAGACAGCTACAGTGTACTTACATATAATAAATAAATAAAAATTAAAAAAAAAATCTTTAAAAAAAAAAAAAAAAGAACATGGCTATGTGTCAATAAAACTTTATTCACAAAAGCAAGCTAGGGGCCAGATTCCTGAAGGCTATAGTTCGTGGTCTGAGGGAAGGAACTTTGGAGGAAGCATGAGGAAGCCAAGATTCCAAGGATGCCTTGCCCCTGTTCCCCCCTTTGGGACCTAGAGAGCTTGAACCTCAGAAACCAGGGCATCCCATTTGTGAGGATGATCTTAGTGAGTGACAAGCACATGATGACTCTGGGTGGTGCAGTTGCTGGAGAGGGGCTGGCTCCATGGTGGGTAAGTGTGGCACCTGAGGGTACAAGACAGATGTGTGAATCTAGAGCTCACACATCTTACAACTTACCGTGTCTGGATCTAGGTTGCCATAACTGGGGGAGGAGGGCAGGCAGGGGTTGATCTAAGACCTCCCTGACCTCATGGGGATGTAGTAAGAATTCAACAAGTCTGTGTGTAGAAAGAACTCGCACAGGTGGACTTAGATGTATGGGCATCACTGCCTTTGCTGTTGTTGACTTATTTCATTTTTGATGGCACTGGAGATGGAAGCTGAGGCCTTGCATGTACACACACACATACACACACACACACACACACACACACACGCACGCAGACACCCACATGCACAGGCTTTCACTAGACCATTGTGCTGTTTAAACTGTCAACTTGACACAACCTAGAACCACCTAGGAAGAGTCTTAGTGAGGAACTACCTAGAGCACATTGATAGTTGCTGGCATGTCAGTAGAGGACTGTCTCCATGCTTAGTTGATGTAGGAAGACACAGCCCACTGTGGGCAGCGCCATTCCCTCGGCAGGAGGTCCCGTATAGTAAAGAACTTATTATACAGCTGAGAGCAAGGAAACAAGCAAGGATCTGTGGACTCGTTCCATCTCTGACTAAGCACATAGATATGGTGTTGTAAGTTCCTGTCATGACTTCCCTGAGGTGATGGATTGTAACCTGGCATTGTAAGCCAAATGAACCTCTTTTCCCTAAGCTGCTTTTTGTTGGGGTGTTTTATCACCGCAACTGAAGTGAATGGAGAGCAGCCATTATGGAAATATGTCAGTAGGTCATGCCTCGCATGGGCCATTCTTTGCTCAGGACTGATAGTAATGTTAATCTTTCCAACAACCCTGTGAAGTAGGTTTCATCATTATCATAACTATTTCACATATTCAAAATCTGAGGCACGGAGAGGCGGAGTAACCAATCCCAGGACCACACACCCGGTGGCAGCGCTGGTGGCAATACCAGTCAGTGGCTACGCTCTTTAACCCTGTGCTCATATAACAAGCTAGTTCTTTAGGTCCAAGCCTTCCCCAACATCCGGCAGGCTAGACTACTCTCTTGGCCCTGAGCCATTCCTGCGCATACACTGATTGCTGTCTGTTCACCCACTTAATCATCCCCGAAGCCATCCCGTCCACACCCACCTGCTACCCTAGGTCAATCCCCTGGGATGATCCCCTGGGAAGTGAATTATCTATCACAGGAGATAATGTTTACTGCAGGTCTACAGATGCCATCCACTGTCCTGCCATTTTATCTTCTTATATAACTCCTAGGGTGGATCCTGATGTCACCTACATTTTACAGCCTTAGAAAATAAGAGAGGTGAACTGGGGACTCCGAAGATTCCCCAGGGCAGTTGATACCACGGTCAAACTTCACCCTTTTCTCCATTGTCTCACCTCAGTCACCTGTCAATAGTTACAACACCAACTCTCATTGAGCATTGCCTGCATGCTGTGTTCTGCCTTATGAAGCTGCTCTCTTAAACCCATTTTACAGATGAGGACACAGAGGCACAGACAATGAGGACAAGCTACTTTCCTAAGTTGCTATGGCGCTCTGTTCTTAGAGGAATGAAGGAGGGGCTGTCAGCTCAGCCCTGAGCTATCTATAACCTTTGGGGTCTACCCCAGCTACACAGAACCACATTCCCAAGATGTCACCTTACTCCCCAAGATAGTTGGCGTAGAGTCACCATTTGAAGCCATTGGGGGACCCCATCTTGAGAACTTCCCTCAGGGTAAATAGCAGTGTCAGCTCAGGTGTTCCTCAAGATGGTGACAGACAGCTCAGCTGCCCTCCACCCTGTACCCAGCTCCCTGCTTCCTAACTATAAATGCTGGCATCCAGGGGAGCCCCAATAATCTCTACTTCAGACTAGCTTCTGGTGACAGCAAAGCCAGGATCTAGACCTAGCTCCCACCCCAGGCTGCAGTAGCCCTGGCCTTACAGTCCTCTCTGCTCCTCAGCAGCTGTAAGGAATGGGATGGGTGTGCTGTGCTATTTAAGGGTGGGGGTTTCTTAGATTCCTTTACCAACAGGGAGCTCTAAATACCACCAGGAGCCCAACCTGGTCTGGCCAGTTTTCCTATGGTGAGCAGAGCCCTGGGCTGGAGGGCCAGTGCGGTGTATGCCGGCTGGAACTCCACGGGTAGGGTTCAACCTTTTCTGATTTCTCTGCTTCCCGATGAATTCTCCTGTTCCCCATGCCCCACCACTCCTTGACTAAAACTCAGCCCTGCACACAAGGGCAGCCAGCATTAAAAGTCAGCGTGGACTCTGCCACGGTCCCCAATTTACAGTGCATTTCTCTCTCAGATCATGGGGCTCCCGCCTCTCCACAGTGGCCCCATTGTCTCCTAGCAGGTGCCACCCAGCACACCTGCTGGAGTGAGGATCCCACCTTCACGATGGAATGAGCCCTTGATGACATCCAGGAACTTCCCTTAGCTCCCCAGGGTTGCTGCCCAACTCTGCAGGTGGAGCTGCCTAGGCCCCTCCCTCTGTCCTCATAAGAGTCTGTTCCCTGTACCCCAGCATGGCTCCAGGCCAGGTCATGTAGGCAGCAGCTGCTAGCTGCCTTCACCTCTGTGCTTCTTGGTAAAAAGTCTTGATGGGGACTGAAGGTATTAGCTGTGTCACCTAAGATTCTGTTTGGAGCGTCGCTATACTTCCTGGACCCTAGTCACAGGTTGACATATGTGACCCTGTCCATCCACCATTGGCCTTTCTAGGCCAACGTTCCCCAGAAGGTCTGGATCTAACTATGTCTCTTTTTAGCTCCTTCTGCATAGAATTTGTGACGGGCCTGGTGAAATGGCTGCATCTGTCTGAAACTGTCCTCCCAACCATGACAGCCTTTGCCAGTGGCCTAGGAGGCGAAGGAGCCGACATCTTTGCTCAGAATTTATTGAAGGACCCCATTCTGAAAGACAACCCATCAGCAATCAGTCAGGTATGCCAGCCCCTGGGTGGCAGTTCTTAACCATCTACAACTCCAGTTCTATCTACAATGCCCTCTTCTGGGCTCCACGGGTACTGCACACATATAGTGCACAGACAGATGAATCCAAAATACCCATACACATAAAATAAAAATAAATGTTAAGAAAACATTCCAGCCTCCCTCTCCCAACTGGAAGTGTTGAGGGATTTCTGGTTGCAAGCACTTTGGGCACTGGGTACTCCGCCTGTGTCACATACTGCAGGAGGTTGTTTGAGAATCAAAAAACAATAACGTCTGTAAACAAGCAATCTCTGTGCATTAAACAAGTAGTAAAGGTATCTACCATAATGAGTCAGGGTCAGCTATAAGCATCACTGAAATATATGATGACAACATGTCGGGCTATGCTGCCACCCCAGCATACAGGCCTGACTCGGAAGGGAAGTGACTTAGTCTCTGTCCCCAGCAGCCCACGGCTGGAATCCATATACACATAATAAAGCGTCTTTTCTAAAAGAGTTCTACACATAAAATGGGCGTTTGTTTCCTGTGTATCTCACACCCGTAGTCTGAAGGTAATTTTATATGATTTTTACAGCTTTGTGCATGGAACCACAGTTCACAGTGTGGAATTTTTTTTTTCACTTGAAATAGTTTTGGAACTGGGAGTGGAGTGCTGGAGGGACAGCTCAGCCATTAAGAGCATATCCTGCCCTTGGAACTCCAGTTCTTTGGAATGCAGTGCCCTCTGCTGGCCTTCTCAGGTTCCTGCAAGCATATGGTGCACATAATCTCACATGCATGCACATGAATAAATCTTTAAATATATATAGTTTTATATGCACATATATGGTTATATATACATGTATACATATACGTATATAGTTTTATATATAGATCTACACACACATATACAAATACATATACGTATATACATATATACATACATACATACATACATACATACATTTATACATATATATATATATATATATATATATATATATATATATAATTTTAAATTAGGGATGTTTAACCTGTATAATCATCCTTACTTTATATTGAGGAGACTGAGGCACAGAGAGATTAAGTTTCTTGCCCAAGGTCACCCAGCTTATAAGTAGCCAAAGCCAGGATTTGAACCTTGGTGGTCTGACCCCAGAGCCTGCATTCTACCAAACTAAGGTGACCTTTTTTCTGAAGCAGCAGCTTTTCTGTGTGCCCTTGAGCATGTCGCTTACCCTCTCTGAGTGCGGTTTAAGTAGGCAGAGCTTGTGGCATAGGTTACTGGTAGCCTTGTGCACAGGCAGGATGCGAGGCCTTTCCTCCTCACCTTGGCCACAGTTGGCACCTGGCTTGCCACTGTACTGTAGGGTGGAGGGCTTTTGCCATCTCCACTGGTAGGAGTCAATACCTAGCTGCCCCACGAGCTGGATGGTGGTGTGTCAGCACCTCCCTGATTTCTGTCTCCTTTTCCCACAGGACCTCCTGAGCTTCTCACTCAAGGATGGTAAGTGGATTTGCTTCCTGTGTGGTGTGGTCTACATGTGGTGAGGCCAGGAACTGTGCCGAACCTGTGTCTCGCCCAATGTCTTTGATGAGCACCGTGTGATACTGATGGGCCTTGCTTAATTTCTGCCCCCTAACCCTCAAATCTGTCCCCTCCCCCCACCCAACATCCTGGGGCAAATCTGTCCCCTCCCTGCACCCAGCACCCTGGGGCTTAGCAGCATCATGGCCTCCAGGGTGACAGCCGGGGTCTTCTCCTTGCTGGTACTCCGGTCAGTTCCCTGCTGTCCACTTAGGTCTCAATGATGTTTCCAGAGGCCTGTGTAGCCTCCCTTGTCTCCCTGCCTCATACCCAGCAAGGGATTCCAGCACCTCCAGTGTGGCCTCGGGACCCTGGGGGAGGGGCTGCTCATCCGGTCTCCTACCTCCTCACTTAATACAATCAAGCCCCAGCCCCGAGTGTGGCTTCTCCCAGCTGTGGCTCCTTGTAGCTCTCTGAGTGTCCCCTTTCCCTTTTGCATATGCTCCCCAGGCCAGACATCATAACCTTCTGTCCTTGGTCCATCTGCTTGCTCTGTCCCTACCTCCTTCCACTCACCCCTCGCTTGCCGGGTGTGTTGGTATGCTGGACAAAAGTGATGTAAGGGTGGCAGATTTATCTTAAGCTCACAATTTGAGCGCACAGCCCATCCCAGTGGGAAGGCGTGGGAGTGAGGTAGCTGGTCACACTTCATCCAGTCAGGAGGCAGACAGATGAATGCTGGTTCCCTGGTTGTGTTCTCCTTTTTATGCCCCTAGCCCATGTGTGGCTGCCCACATACGGTGAGCCTTCCTTGTGTAACCTGTCTGGGAACACACTCACAGCCGTACCCTGAGCCACTGATGATGAGTCATCACACACACACACACACACACACACACACACACACTATCAACGTGATACCCTAACACATAATTTTTAGTGGTACAGTCTACCTGAGTCTACCTCAATGCCTGCGGCCGCCTCCAAACACAATGTGTGTTTAGTTCATCTTAAGAGTTCTAATGTCCAAAAGCACAAAGTCTTTTCTGATACTCAAGGTGATCTTTTAACTCTAAGACTCTGTAAAATCAATAATGTAAGTTATATATTCTCAATATCCGAAGGCACAGAGTAAGCAACACCATTCCAAAAGGAAGGAATAGAGGCAGAGAAGGACAGACAACATAGCCTGCAACCTTTAATCTGACATCCCGAGCTCTAGATGGTCCCTCCTCATGTGCTAGGCTCCAGCAGGCTCCAGCAGGCTCCAGCAGGCTCCAGCAGGCTCCAGCAGGCTCCAGCAGGCTCCAGCAGGCTCCAGCAGGCTCCAGCAGGCTCCAGCAGGCTCCAGCAGGCTCTAGCAAGCTCTAACAGCCCCACTCCCCAGCTCTGCCGCCTGTAGCTTCAGTGGGTGTTTGTAGCGTTCTGTGGCATGCATCCCATGGACTTGGTTTCTCCACCCTTTTGGGATTGCCATTGGATTTCATACTTCACCTTCACAGCTTCATCCAATGGCCTCTTGGGGCCTCCTTGCAGGGACTCTAACTGCTACACATTGCCCAGAGCCCCCAGCTTTCTGGAACTTTGGTACAAGCTTCTATGACCCTGTAACTCATGCATTGTGCACACCTGCCATCTCAGGGTTTCTATTGCTGTGCTGAAACACCATGACCAAAGAGCAAGCTGGGGAGGAAAGGGTTTATTCTGCTTACACTTCCAAACCCTAATTCATCACTGAAGGAAGTCAGGACAGGAACTCAAGCAGGGCAGGAACCTGGAGGCAGGAGCTGATGCAGAGGCCACAGAGGGGTGCTACTTACTGTCTTGCTCCTCATGACTTGCTCAGCCTGCTTTCTTGTAGAACCCAGGACCACCAGCCCAGGGACGGCCCTCCCCCATAAATCACTAATTAAAATGTTCTACAGCTGGATGGATATTAGACAGACATTTTCCTAATTGAGGTTCCCTCCTCTTAGATGACTTTAACTTGTGTCAAGTTGTCATAAAACCAGCCAGCACGCCCGCTAAACAGCTGTAGTCTCCCCTGTGCCCCTTGGTGCCTGATCCTGCCTCTCCCCTGTGCCCCTTGGTGCCTGATCCTGCCTCTCCCCTGTGCCCCTTGATGCCTGATCCTGCTTCTCCCCTGTGCCCCTTAGTGCCTGATCCTGCCTCTCCCCTGTGCCCCTTGGTGCCTGATCTGCTTCTCCCCTGTGCCCCTTGGTGTCCGATCCTGCTTCTCCCCTGTGCCCCTTAGTGCCTGATCCTGCCTCTCCCCTGTGCCCCTTGGTGCCTGATCCTGCTTCTCCCCTGTGCCCCTTGGTGCCTGATCCTGGGAAAGCACTTCCTAGGAAGTTGAGTTCAAGCCTGGAAAGCCTCATGGCTTATAGTTCTTTTTATTCAAATACATTTGTATTTTTCACAAGTTGGAGCCTTTTATGGGTGGCTCTCCAGAACAGCTCATTAAGCTCTGGCACAGCATTCTAGAATCCTCTAGCCAGCAGCTCAGACTTTTCCACAGGCCTACAAACCACCCTGACACCACACTGGCAGGGACAGCCATGGCCCTCCTTACCACCACACGTTGTTTCTTGCACTGATCGATTTTCTCATTGCATGACAAAGTACCTGACAGAAAGCACATAAGGACACTGTCCTGGCGGATGGAGGCTACAGGAAGGTACTTTTTCCCAGGGCAGAGGCTCATCCATTGTACTGAGAGTGTTCGACCCCTGAGGTTTCCCCAACTGTGGGAAACTCGGCTGCATAATTGATGGTAATGGAGAACTGGTTTCCCCTGGTTTTGTTTGTTTGTTTGTTTGTTTGTCTGTTTATTTTAATTTAAAAATAGACTATTGGGGCTGGAGAGATGGCTCAGAGGTTAAGGGCACTGGCTACTTTCCCGGAGGTCCTAAGTTCAGTTCTCAGCACCCATATTTATAACTGCAGTCCCAGGTAATCTGATACCCTGTACCACACATGGTACATGAACACACATGCAGGCAAAACATCTATCCACATTTTTTAAAAAAAAAAGTCTTTTAAAACCCACCAGCTTAAGCAAGAAAGGGTTTATTCTTGAATTAAAAAAAAAAAGAAATAAAAAGGAAGGAACATGACTGCCCCAAGTATGGTAGAGGAGAAGCTTTACTGTAGGTCTGAGAGGGAGCTTAGTCAAAGGCAGGGACTTCTGGGGGAGTCCAGAGTGGACACAACCCTGAGCCAGGTGAGGAGAAGGGGGAAGGGGAGAGCCAGGAAAATAAAGAGCAGACAAAAGGCCCAGGTAACCAAATGGCTGGACTATACACGGAAGGGCAGCTGAGGGAAGGGCAGCCCACCCTTTGCTGGAAATGTTTAGGGTAGAGGATGGTCCATGCCAGCCATACCCAGTAACAGGTAGGGACTGAGAGATGCAGAGAGAACCTGGCAGCCAGGTCTGCTTTGATATGCTAAATAGGCACCTCCGCCATTTGTCCTGGGTTTTGAGACCTAAGAATTTTGGCTTATAGTTTCAGGGTTCGGTCTATCATGGAGAGGACAGTATGGTGACCGAAAGCTTTTCTGGCTGTAGTGGGAGGAGCATGAGACAAGGTCACATGACATATGTAGTCAGGAAGCAGAGAAAGGTGATGCTCCCTCAGCGATAGCCAGCTGGCTTTCTCCTCTCACCCTTTGTTCAGGCTTGCTCCTCAGTTCTTGAGATTCTCACAACCTGTCAGTCTTCCCTCCTCTGTTACAGCTTGACAAAGAAGTTGGACTGTCACACTTGGGGAAGTCACTGGGCCTCCCATTGTGGACCCCACAAAAGTGGCTTTCTACTTTCTTATGTGTCTCCTTGATAAATACTTCCTCACTCCTGGGAAGCTTCCAATAGGTCAAGCTTAGGACCAAGTACTTAGCAAAGTCCTCTTGAATGAGTTCAGGAGATAGATCTGCTGATTTTTTTTTTTTTTTTTTTTTTTTTTTTTTATGGAGGGAGGCAGCTCAGGGACAATTAACCATGTCATCTGCCAAAGTTACTCGGTGAGTGGCAGGGCCCCATTTTGCCTACCTTAGTTTCCTGGGGCGCCTGTTAGCCACTTGAATTCTCTGTGTCCTCCATGAAGCCCAGAGTCTGAAATGCAGACAGCAGGATGGTGCTCCCTCTGAAGTCTCTAACGGGATTTGTGTCTCTTGAGTTTCTGTGTGCTCTGAGAGCACCTTGACCTGGGTCCTAATCCCTTTCTGGGCTTCCTAAGGCCCACTTCTCCCTTGCTTCCCATCTCTGAATCTCTTGGAAGGCCATCCCCTCAGGATAACCTCATCTTGAGAGTTTAAATTTGATATCTGAAAAAGTGTTTTTTCTGACATCAGTCATACCTGGCCTAAAGGCAGGTACATCTTAATGGGGGAGGGACAGTGGGGGACATGCTGTTCAACCTGCTAAGCAGCCCTAACTGTCTCAGATGGCACCTGCTATCCCGTAGCTGCTGTCCACTGCCTTCTACCAACTCATAGATAATACTTATCCCTTAATCTGAGCTTTAAGTTCCTAAGCCTTGGGTGTTTCTTCTAATAACCAATGAAAAGTGGGGGTAGGGGTGGGGGGTTAATGAGGAAATCCTGAGCTAGATGACTAATGTCAGGCGTGGTGGCACATGCCTTTATTCATGGAACTTGGGAGGCAGACTCATGAGACGCTGGAGTTCAAGGCCATCCTGGCCTATATGAGACACAGCCAAAAAAAAAAAAAAAAAAAAAACCACAAATGCACACATGGGAAACTCTCAGGAGAGGACAGGAAGCACGCTGGGTCAAGAGTAGAAACAGTTAAGGAGGCCACAGATGGCGTGGGAAAGGGACCAGCAAGGGCTGGGAGTGACCAGGCTTGGAAGTTAGTCAGGGTGCATTTTGCCTGGGCAGACATGAGGTCCACAGTCACAGCCAAGCAGTAGAGAGGGCTGTGGAGAAAATGTCCTGTGATAGACCCTGTGGAATTGCAGAGAGATTTGACGAGAGCCAGGAAGTCCCAGAAGTGCTGCCTCAGCTCTAGGATTCTGGTTGTCTGGCACCTGTAGCCAGGGTGTCTTGGAAATGCTGACATTCGTCTCTGGTGACCCTTTTATGTAAGGTGGTGTTTGGAGAACCTTGAATAGTGGGAGCCAGGGCTTCCTCAGGTCACACACAGGCTGTGTAGTCTGCCTGTTCGTGTGTGCTCACTAAGAAGGGCCTGTGTGGTGGGGTCACTACACAACAGGATGACAGAGCTTGTAGGTTACCCTTCATGAACGCTGCTGCTTACAAGAAAAATGTATCTTGTGTTGCTAGAAAAGATCTCCGCGCCTGCTACACCCAGTGTGCTCTACAGACCAGCAATAGTACCAGCATCAGCACCAGTGCCAGCATCCCCGTCCCCCAGAGCTTTGCTGATAATTTGGAGTCTTGGCCCCAGCAGGCCCATAATGTTATCACTAACGGTCTTTGATCCCGGAAGACTACTCCAGCCTTGGCCCAGAGGATATTTTTAGTCCTTTAATTTATTTTTTCAGTTGTGGGAGGAGCATTCTACAGGGTATGCATATACTCTCAGTTGTGGGAGGAACATGCTACAGGGTATGCATAGCTTGTGTGTACATGTGAAGGTCAGAGGACAACCTCGGTGTCAGTCTTCACCTTTCATCTCCTTTGGGAGAGGGACCCTTTGTTATTTCCTGTGGCATTCACCAGGCTAGCCAGCCCACCAGCTTCCAGAGATTCTCCTCTCTCCCTGTCCCGTTTCACCGTAGTGTCCAGCTTTACTTGAGTTCAGGGGATCAGAACCTAGGATGTCATGCTTGCTGTGCATACCGTCATGCTCATACCATCACACTATGAGCAACCTTGGCACAGGCTCTTACAGGATCATTGTGTGGGTTTAAAATGGCTTCCTTTTCTCTTCAGGGCATCTTCTTTGAATGTAGTGTCTCAACCAGCCCTGCCTTTGTGTTTGTGTTAAGAAAACCCACCACTTACCAAGCACCCTTACTAAGGTAGATGGATGGATGGATGGATGGATGGATGGATGGATGGATAGATGGATGGATAGACAGATGGATGGATGAATGGATGGATGAATGGATGGGTGGGTGGGTGGATGAGTGGATGGATGGTGAATGGGAAAAAAGAGAGGGGACAGAGGAAGGCTCAGAATGACCGGCAGATGGTCTTTCTTCAGAAAGCAAACCTAAATCAGAGTTGGGCAGTCCCTTTGAGCATCCTTCTCCTCCAGAGGCTGGCTGGGGTTGCCCAGCAGGGAGACTGGATTGCTCCCTGTGCTGGGCAGGATGAGAACCCATACAATCTGCCCAGGAAGTCACCATGGAAGGCCACGTTTCTCAGAACTTCCTGGAAGATTGACCTTTATTGACAATCTGTGGGCGGTAGTTACAGAGCGATCCCATATTGGCAACTGGGTGGGCTGCCAATCATTTTCCTCATGCTATGGCAACCCACAAACTGTTTGCCCACACCGCTATAAAAACCAGCCATGCAATACATGTAAATCACCCTGAGCTGGCAGCTCTCACACAGCTGGCTCTGTGGAAGTCTGGAGCGGAGGATCCTCCGTGGAAGGGCATCCTGCCTGCTGAGGGACATCAGGCAGCCTCCCTGGCCTCTGTGCATTGTATGTCAATAGCACATCCCATGTGACAACCGGCAGTGTCTCTAGGGCTGGGGGGATAGCTCAGTCAGCCAAGTGTCCATAGCACAAGCATGAGGCTCCGTGTTCAGATCCCCAGCACCCATGGAAAAGCCAAGCACAGCAGTAATCCTGTATAAGGCTGGCATGGAGACTGGGGACGTGGAGAGAGGCAGAGCTGTGGAGCCCATTGGCCGGCCAGCCTAGCTGAGTCAATGAGTGAAAAGACCACTGAGGGAGACAGTCAAGGCCGACCTCTGACCTCGCGCATGTGCTTCTGTATCTGCTCCCACACAAATAGCAGTGCAAAATCAAAATGTTGCTATCGAAGGTGAGACCTGTTTATTTGCTCTCGGTAATCCTTAGAAGTCATCCAGGCTGCTCTTTGGGCCCTTTAATTGATTGTTAGTTACTGTGTAGTGAGTAACCTCATATTGAAATGTGCACTGTTAACCTCACTTACAGGGAGGAAATCAAGGCCCCAGAGGTGAGACAGGCAGGCCAGGGTTATATTTCAAAGTTCCATTTAAGGCAGCATGAACTCCGGTGTGAACTCTGAATCAGAGCCAGGGCAACTGAACCCTGAGTTTTGCCCTATGCACTCTGTGTGACTCTTATGGATCCCCTGTGGATCAATACGAAGCCAGGGTCCCGGGCACGTGCACGCACATGAGCAGAAGCAGTGTGTGTCTCACACTCGACTCTACTTCCTGGGAGAAGTCCTCCTGGAGGGATTGCACCCCTGTGTCCTAATAATCAGAGCTCTGTGGACTGAGGCTAGCCTGGCTGAAATGTCCCTCCTGTGACCCAATTGCTGAGTTCCCTGGCAGTATCCTTGAGATTCGGGCAACTGATGTCTAATTTTGCTGCATCCAGCAAATGAGCTTTGAACTGTTGCTGTGAGGACTGGCCTGGCTCTGGGCTCTGGGCACAGTTCCTGGAGTGGAGCTCGCTGGGTGCCTGCTGGATGCCTGGCTCCCAGCTCAGGGCTTCCTTTCCAAGCATGCCTTGGTGGAAGCCACCCAATCCCTTAGGAGACAGATGCAGTGACTGTCTCCCATGTTACAAGAGGGGACAATACGGCACAGTGGATATGATAACCTGTCTGCAGCCACACAGCTGGAAGCCAGGTGGTGGGTTCTAATCCTGAAGCATCACCCACAGCTCACTCCAACTTGCTGTGTCACCTCCAGGCCTGAGTGACATGGGCATGTGTGCAGCCACGTGGCTGGCATTGCCTCTGAGGAGGCACCGCTGGAGACAGCCTCTGAAGTAGATCTCTGTGCCCTCTGCCCTGGCCACAGGCAAACCACAAATGGGGCTGAAGTATAACATGGCTTCTCTTTCATTGATTTTTTTTTTCATTAGAGTAAGAACAGGAATAAATAAGAAATGTTCCTAGAAATTCATAATCAGGGACGCTGGTGAACAGGGAGCTAGCAGCGCAGTGAGCAGGCAGGCAGGTACATTAGTGTGGCCTGTGAGGGCTGTCCCCAGATGCTGTGAGGGAGAGGGGTTAAAGGACGCAACTCTTGGGGAGTAGCAGGCCCCTAGCCTTGCTCCCAATCCCAGCTCAGAGGGCAGCTGCTACCATGACTTATTAGAGAGCATGCAGACTTGCGCCTCAATCCTCGCTGAACCATTTTACAAGTGGTAAGGTGAGCGTGTCATCATAAAGAGTAATTTTAGGGACAGTTCGGTGGTGCACGGCTGTCACCCAGCACTCAGGGTGCAGTCAGGGGGACTGAGAATGTGAGACCGGCCTGGGCTACAATAAGACTTTTCACCTTTAAGCAAAACAAAACAGGGCAATGCTAAGTGTCTTTGTGCGCTTCATGCGTCTAGTGCTGGCTGGACTCACAGTATCCTCCGGTTACAGCTCAACAGTGTCAGATTTAAAACATTCTTGGGGCTGGTATAGAACACTTGCCTCACATGCTTAAGACCCCGAGCTCCATCCTGGTGTGCCCACACACACACACACATCACAGTTGGGCTCAAGAGCACGGGCCACTTCTCTACCAAGTTGCTGAGAGTCCTGGACAAGTGACCCAGTCCAGTTCTGTTCTCTCTGATATGATGGTGTGAGTAGCCACGCCTGCCTCCTCGGGAAGCTGAGAAGGTTTGAGAAAGCAGGGTAGAACGGAAGTGTAGCTCTGAATGTGGAGAGTTGAAACTTCTGGATTAGTGTGGTTACGAATCATAGGGTTGTTGGGTTTTATTTCCATTTATTTACTGGGGACAGAGTGCGGTGCCTGTGTGAAAGGCAGGGAACAACTGTGGGAGCCAGTTCCTCCTTCCACCATATGTGTTCTGGGGATCGAATTCAGACTGTCATGGTGGCCGTGAGCACCCGTATCTACTGAACCATCTATTTGCCCACGAATCATAGTATTTTTCTGCCAGAAGGGAGCAGAGAATTCATCCAGACTAACCCTCCACAGTCTGGGTCTCTCCCAACACTAGGCCATCTATCCGTTCCTCCAGAGAGTCCTCCCTTCCCCCATGCAGGTTATAAACCTCTCTTTGTTTCAAGCAGGGCCCGACAGTTAGAGTTTGGAATTTGTATTCTAGAAGGAGAGATGGACAGTAACAAAAGTAGGCAACCAAACTACTGACATATTGATTTTTATTTGTTTGCTGAGACAAGGTAGCAGGATGATCCTCCTGCCTCCACCTCCGAGGTGGCAGGATTGCAGGCATGCACCGACGTGCTTGGTTTCTGCAGTGCTGGGGATGGAAGCCAGGGCTTCGTGCATGCTAGGCAAGCACTCTTCCAACTGATCTACCTCACCAGCTCCAAAACTGCCCCCTCTAGATGGCAGGAACTGCTGCTGACAGGAGAACAGAGGCCATGAGGGGGCATCCACAAGGGCTCACCCAAGGTGACCTCTGAGAAGGACTGAGCTAAGCATGAACCTCAGAGAGAATGTTCTAAGTGTTGTCAGAGCTCCGCTCGTGATAAGGACTTGGGAGAGATGCTAAGCAAGCTATTCTCTCTGCTCTCCCACCCGTGTCTCCTGAGAAGGAAAGACTGAGTCCCTGAAAGCATATATCTCACATAGAGATGACAAAAGTCTTTTACACATGGGGCTGTAGACACAGCAGAGAACCTAGTAGGCCAGGAGGACTGTGGTCTGTTAATGAGTACACCTACTAAGCACAGGTATTAAGAGACAGCCAGGAGCAGGCTGAGAGGAACAGAATGACTGAGGCTGGGATGCTCTCAGTGCCAGTGGCCTTTCCAAGGAGTTGATATTTTAAGCTGAAGCTTGACTGGTGGACACAGGCCAGCCCAGCAGCACACTAGCAAAGGGGCTTTCCAGACAGCAAGCATGTGAGTGCGAAGGCTCCAAGGTCGGCGTGCGTTTAGCCTGCAGCAGAGACAGGCAGTAGAAGATGCAAGAGAGGATGTTGGGGGGGGGGCGGAGGGGGGACTGGGAATGGAGATGCCACGGCAGGCCTTGGCCAGATGTGTTGGTTTTATTCTAAAGACATCAGGAGCTGTCAGAGTTTTAAGCTGAGCTGGAAAATGATCTGACAGAAGGTTTTAATGGATCTCTCCAGCTGTCATGGGGCCAACAGGGTGCATGAGGCCAAAATGAAAGAGGAGGGACTGGCAGGGTGACTGAAGGTCAGAGAGCAATGCTCACACCCATGCCAGGTGGTAGCAACAGAGGAGGCAGAGCAAAGCACTCAAACCAAGCTAAGAACCAGTGCCTTTCTTAGGAGAATCAGTTCTGGTCTTAGCTGATGGCCTGGTTTGGGCTGGGAAAATCAGAAGATTCTAGGCCAGTGATCCTCAGCCCTCCCAATGCTGCAACTCTTTACTCCTCATGGTGTGGTGACGCCAACCATAAACTTATTTTTGTTGCTACTTCATAACTGTAATTTTGCTACTGTTATGAATCGTAACGTAAATATCCATGTTTTCCAATGATCTTAGCTGACTCCTGTGAGAGGCTCTTTGATCTCTGGGATTGCCACCCACAGGTTGAAAGCCACTGCCCTAGACCAGTGCCCAGGATCTTGGCCTGAGTCTCAAAGTGGATGGCTGGCTGGGCCACTTCCTACAGGTGAATTGGTCGTCTGGTAAGCTGGCAGGAAACCCGCTCCAAAATATCTGAGATAGCCGAGGACTCAGGACCCACCCTTTGGCCTCAAACAGAAGCTCTGCTCCCAGTCCAGTAGCCCAGCCCACACAGTCTTTGAAATGACTCTTCCCAAAGGCTACAGGAAGGAGCCTTGTGCCTGATACTACCCCTGAATATTAATCACCATGCACGTGGCAGCCTGAATCACTGCAGCCTTGACCTTAGAGTATTATTACCAGCTATTAACAATCGCCACCCATTAATCACCGTGGCAAACCCTTCTCCACAGCCCGATTATCACTTGGGAGTCACAAGCTTCCCCCTTCAAAGAAAAAGGAGTGCCTTTGTCTGCGTTAACCCAGTGACCCCCAAGACACAGACTTGACTGTCTCTGAGCACGTAAGCAGATCCCATCCGAGCATGTATCTGCCAGCTCTGAGGACCCTTCCCCCCGCCCCGACCCCCACCAGTCCAGGCAGGAACTGATTTGTGTGTGCATGCGTGTGTGCGTTCGTTCATGTGTGTGTGTGTGTGTGTTCTAAGGATGGATCCTAGTGTATGTTAGGCCTGTGGTGACACACTAGAATAAATAAATAGATTAAATAAATAAATAAATATCTCAAAAAGAAGAGGCAAAAGATGGAGTCATGTGACCAAGAGCCAAGGACTGTGGGCAGCCTTTAGAACCTGGGGAAGGACTTGGGTATGGCAGTTAAATGAAGTAGAAGGATTGGAAGTTCAAGGCTGGACTACTTAGTGAGTTCAAGGCCAGCCTGGGATACATATCAGACTCTCCCATGAAGACAGGACAGGAGCAGGTGTGTGAGAACCTGGTGACTGGGAAATGGATGGCACAGTCTCTAAAGTGCTTGCCACAGATGAGGACTTGAGGTCAGTCCCCAGCATCCACATAAAAGCCATGCTTAGTGGCTCGTGCTTGCAGTCCCAGCACTGGGGAGGCAGGAATGAGAGCATCACTGGAACCTGGTGGTCAGCCTAGCCAAACTGGCAAGATCTGAGTTCAGTGAGAGACCCTGTCTCAAAAGACAAGACAGAAATGGATGGAGGGAAACTGGTTGGCCTGTGGCCTACACACACGAGTGCAAAAATACATATGAGCATACACACACACACGCACAATTTATTTTTTTTTATTTTTTGGTTTTTTTCGAGACAGGGTTTCTCTGTGTATCCCTGGTTGTCCTGGAACTCACTCTGTAAACCAGGCTAGCCTCGAACTCTCAAACTCAGAAATCCACCTGCCTCTGCCTCCCAAGTGCTGGGATTAAAGGCGTGCGCCACCACCACCCAGCTAATTTATTTTTAAAAAAGATTATGCCCAGCAGTTTATTGTAGCAACAAAGACAAATCAATAGAGCTTGGCGTTCCGAAGCCCTGCTCTGGGACACTGGTATTTGTTCTCTAAGAATCAGAGGATGAAGCTAGACTTTGGTGGTCCATGCCTTTAATCCCAGCACCCAAGCAGAGGCAGGCAGCTCTCCTAAATTGAGTGAGGCCAGCCTACTCTATGGAGTGAGTTCCAGGAAAGTCAAAGCTAAGCAGAGAAACTCTATCTGGAAAAAACAAAAACAAACAAAAGAAGATCATGTGATCGTGGGCCACTAGGATAGAAAATGGGAATGATCTACTTGGAGGGTTACAGGCACACAGGGATGTGTGACCTTGTGTGCTTGGGTCAGGGGACAATCCTGAGGACAGTGGGAGCTGCCAAGCACCCATCCCGGAGGCTGGCTTCCCCAGGGCTGTTACTTTTGCTTCCAGGTTTAGGGTTTGCTGTCTGCACCCCTGCTAGCATCTCTGACTTAAATCCTGAACTTACTCATTGGGCATTCTGTTTCCTTTGAAGGACACTATGATGCCCGGGCCAGAGTCCTTGTTTGTCATGTGACCTTCCTGCTCCAGGTGCCCATGGAGGAGCTAGATCTTCTCGAAGAGGTATTCCTGGAGAGCCTGAAGGACACCAAAGAGGAGGAGTCTGAGTAAGGCAGCCCTATGGTCCCTGGCAGAAGCCTGAATTCCACTTGAAGAATCTTTGCCCATCTCAGGCCCCCTCCCCATGTAGAAACTATGTGGTAATGTAGAAGGAGCATTAGACAAAGAGTCCCAGTACCCCTGACTCACCGTGTGACCTCAGCAAGTCACTCGCCACCCTCTCTGGGCTTGGCTGCAGAGGCAAGAAGAGATGCTTGTTAAAGGCGCTGGATGTGTGACCACCATCCAGTGGTCCTCCACCATCCAGTGGTCCTCCACCATCCAGTGGTCCTCCACCACCCGGTGGTCCTCCACCACCCGGTGGTCCTCCACCACCCGGTGGTCTTCCACCATCCAGTGGCCCTGAAAACTTGACTCTGCCTCCAGCGTCTACACGTCCTTTAACTACAGTATACCTGGATACAACATGGCTATAGGGATAGTTCCCCCACCCCCAGGATCACCAGAGAAAAGAATGTAATCACAACAGAAAATACTCAGCCCAGGCTGGCACGTGGCAAGGGCTTGACGGGTGTGAACCCTCCCCTTCCCTCATAAACCCCCATGCCATGTGTGGCCAGGGATGTGAAGGATATGGGGAGATAGCTCAGTCAGCAAAGCACTAGACCTATGGTTGATCCCAGAACCAGAAAAGGCAGGTTACGATGGTATGCACTTGCAATCCCAGCACTCAGGAGGCAGAGATGGGTGGATCCCTGGGACTTACTGGTTACCCACCCCGAACTTATTGGTGAGTTTTCAGGCCACTGAGAGACCCTGCCTCAATTTAAAATAAGAAATAAAGGATGGTGTCTGAGAAATGCCAAGCAGAACTTGTCCTCTGACCTACATGTGCACACATGCGTACATACACACACACACCATTTACCCTGCTGCCGACACTCATAAACACATTAAGAATGTGGAAAAGAAAATTATCCTTGTGACTTGGCCAGAGCCCAGCTCTGGGCGTCATCTAATTCCAGTATCATAAATCAACTGCAGCTCCATCTTGATCCTGAGCGGCAGCAACAGGCACCAGGTATCAGGCGTCAGGCACACCTACCCAGCCCGGGCTTCTCTTCATCCCCCACAGCCGCGTCTGAGAAGCCCAGTTCTAGCAGTTGTACCCAGTGGGAGACAGGAATCTGAAGCACAGTTCAGAGGGAGAGCCGTCTCCCTCCAGAACTTACAGGCAAAAGGACGGGAGACAGTGGCCAGGGTGGGTTTTGGTTTTGGTGTTTGAGTTTGCCAGTTTTGTTATAAGTCAAGGTCTCTTTATGTAGCCCTGGTCTGTTCTGGAACTTGCTCTGTAGAACAGGCTGGTCTCGAACTCACAGAAATCCACCTGCCCCTGCCTCCTGAGTGCTGGGATTAAGGCATGTACTACCACACGCACTAACAGTTTGTTGAAATAGCCTAAGGGGAGGATGGGAAGATGGCTCAGTCAGTAGAGAATTTTCCATGCAAGTGCAAGAACCTGCATGTGGGCCTCTAGCATCTGTGTAAAATCTGGGCACAGCAGTGAGCACCTGTACCCTTAGCGATGGACAGGTGGAGACAGGACAGTCCCTGGTGCTAGTCACTGAGCCCCAGGTTCAGTGAGACCCTGTCTCACAAAACCAAATGGACAGTGATTGAGGAAGTCACTTTCAGTCAACTCCTGGTCTTCAAATGTACACATGCACGCGAGAAATAATCTGAAAACATTTATACTGATGCTCAGAACTATGCCAGGCAGCAAACAGACAGACCTGGACCAATGGCCTTAATCACAAGGACTACCACCTAGTTCTTCAACTATGTTGAAAAGGTGTCAGCCTCGCAGGCCTCGGGATGGAGAGACTTCCCAGTGGGTGCCTGACAATCCTGTTATCAGACAGGAGTGTGTGATCCAGAGGGGTCTGTTCTGACTCTATCAGTCTCATAGAATCAGAGAAGATGGGCACCAGAAGTTCCAGTACAGCCCAGCTCCAATCTTAAGCAGATTTATGATCTTGACAAAGTTATTGATGTTCTCTGGGTCTCAGTTTCCTTATCTGCAAAATGGGGATAGGAATAAAGACCTTTTGCCTAGGTCTCCTGTGGGGGCCAAAAGGAAGCTGACAGTGGGGGGGGGGGCCCTGCAGCTTTTCATCTCTTTTTTTGGCAGTTAGGATTACAATTATGCTATCATTATATCTGAATGTGGGGTTTGAGGGACTGTGGAGAACTCTATTCTCTAGAGGGATCTGAAACTAAGGGAAGGCAACTCTGCAGACCAGGCTCTCTGCTGATCCTGCTGTGGCCTTGGGCAGGTTCCTTGCCTTCTCTGGGCATGGGGACCAGTTTGTCACCCTGTTTAAGGGATCAGGCCGTGTAGACATCCCCTTTAATGCTGAGGCGTTTTACCGGGTTTCTGCAGTGCTTCTTTGTAGGTGGGATTTAGAATGTGGCCTGTCACCCAGTGTGCTTGGTCCTCAACTGGATGCCTTCCGTTAACTGACCTCACCTCTCCATGTCTCAGTTCCTTCAGCTCTGGCGTGGGGTTAGTGGTAGTTCGACATCACTGTAGGAGGGTTAAATTAATCACCTCACATCAAAAGCCTGGGACACTGTCTGCTAAGCAGCAGGCCTCGGTGACCCTCAGCTGAGACAAGGCTGGATTTCATAACTCCTACAGAAGCGTGGCCAGTGTCCAACTCCTGCCAAGTGTTCCTGCTACAAGCCCAGGGCCTGCCCCATTTGACTCTCCATCCATCCATCCTTGTGGGAAGTCAGCTGGCCCAGGTCACGTAGCTGGTCCATGGCTTTCTGATTCAATCACCATGTCCAGCCTGAGCTATGTAGCTCTGGCTGTCCTTACTCTGTAAACTAGGCCGGAGTCAAAGTCCCAGCGATCCACCTGCTTCTGCCTCCCAGATGCTGGGATTAGAGGCATGCGCCACCACCGCCTGGCTTCTGTCTTATTTTCTTAAGGACCAATTTGAAATCCCGATTCCTTCATTCCTGGATTTATCTAGGAATAGCTCTCAGAGTGGGCTGGGAAGTAGGACTCATAACTATGTGCCTGTAAATCACTCATACACATGCACGTGGGGACAGACATGGACACTGAGGGTCCTTCTCTATCACTGTCCACCTTATTTCCTTGAAACAGGATCTCTCTCTGAAGCTGGAGCTAAACTGATGGCCAGCAAGCATGGTGACAGAATGCTTGCCTAGCTTATGCAGGCCTTGAGTTCACTGGAAACAGGTGGACGGGAGGGGTTAGAGAGAACATGATCCCACGGGTGATCAGATGCTTTGAGACCTTCAGATTGGTGGCGCCACCCTGTGGACAGTGTTGGTATCCTCCTCTTCTTCAGCTAGTTTCGCAGTTTGGGGGTCTGACCTAGGCTGACATGGAAATGCTATCTCAAGTTCACGCCTCCTATTCTAGAAAGTGAGTGTGGCCATCGACTGACTGTCTGAAGGTATGGCCTGCCATTGTGTCTAATCAGATGACAAAGTCCGTGGCAGGAATAAAGCCATCATTTAGATTTGGAGTTCCCAGAATTCAACGCCCAAGGCAAAGGAAAGAGGCACCCTAGCTGTGACTCAGAGTGGATATCTCTTCTCGGGCTCCCAGTGTTGAAACTCAACCAGACTACTGAAATAACTGCAAGGATAAAATACTGTGATTATCAACAAAGATAAGGAAAGGAAATAACTGCTTACAGGGAAAGCAGTTATTAAGAGGGGTGCACATATGGAAATCAATAGACCATGCATGTGATTGTCAGACAGAGGGTCTCAGCTGCTAAGTACCTTTTAAGCAAAACATTTTCTTGGAAGCTGGCAAGATGGCTGAGCATGCGAAGGCGCTTGTGGCCAACACCCTGAGTTCGATCCCTGGGACCCAGGTGAAGAGGAGACCTGATTCACACAGGTTATCCTCTGGGCTCTACTTATCTCTACAAACAAAAACAGCCATACATATGCACACACATAAATGGACATACATGCACATAGATATGCAGTAAAAATGTAATAAAACATGAAAAAAGAAAATAACATTTATTTCATTTTTAAAAGAAACAGAAGGGAGGTTGGAGAGATGGCTCAGTGGTTAAGAGCACTGGCTGCTCTTCGGTTCCCAGCACCCATTGGATCCCGAGCAGCTTAACTCCAGTTCCAAGAGCTCTGTCGCCCTCTTCTGGCCTCCACTGGTACTGCATACATGTGTTAGACCACATGCAAGCAAACACACACCAAAATAATAAAGCTTTTTTAAAAGAAAGAAAGAAAAATCCCACCTTTACTAGTCAAAAATATGTTTGCAAACATTTAAATGATAACATGGAGAAAACTGCTAGGGGTCAGAGCATCTCGTGTGTGGTCTCTGCAGATCCGCTCTGATGAGCAAGCTTCATGGTTCTACATAACCTTGTGATGAGCCAGCTCCATGCATTTGAGCCACACCGGCCTCGGGGACCCTATTGATTTTGTAGTCCTTCTACTCCATCAAACTGAGCGAAGCCTGCTGACCGTTTGGTGCCATTAGTATACAGACGTCACTGTGGGAGAAATCTAGAAGCTGTCAGTGCCACCTCACTAACATGCCACTGGCACTAACTTGGAAATCTTAGTAGATTCTTACTAAAAAGACATTTGTAGCAATTATGAACATTTTGTTTATCCGTTTACTTGAGACAAAATATCACTTTGTAGCCCTGCCTGGCCTGGAACTTGCGGTGTAGACCAGCCTGGCCTTGAACTTGGGAGGCGTTTCCTGGCACTTCAGATTGTTCTATTGTTCCACACGTTTCTTAGTGGGTGGTAACTGGCCTGTACTCCACCTGCGTGTTTTAGCCTGTGTCTATTCTGTGTCGCTCTGCTTTTCCTAAGTGAAACAAAGTAACTTGTAGGTCCTGGAGTAATTGGTTTTGTTGCAAAAACCATGTGCTGGGCCTGGGAGATGTCTCAGTGGGTGAACTGTTTGTTCTGCAGTCGGATCCCCAGCACCTGTGTGAAAAACCCAGATGCGGTGGCATGAGCCTAGAGCCCCAGTGCTCCAGGTGGGGATTGGGTGGAGACAGGCAGGTCCTTGAAACTCACTAGGCAGTGTAGCTGAATCAGTACTAGGTTAACAGAGAGACCCTGACTCCCAACACGAGATGAAAAGCAGTTGTGGAATATACCTGACGTCGACCTCTGATCTCCATACCGAGGGTTCAGGAGGCACACACTCCTGAACACCTGTGTACTCGTACCCAAAAAAGAAACCTGACTGGAATACCACCCAGGTCCAGGGCAAACTGTGGAGGGTGGAGAGCCCAGAGTGGATGAGCCAGCTGTGCTGGGCCCCTGCGCCTCTTCCCTCAGCTTCTGGCTGCTCTTCAGTCCATGTCTGTTGTGCAGAAGTATGCTCAGAGCTACACTGCCAGACCCCACTGTGTGTGGTCAGCCACCCCACTGTGTGTGGTCAGCCACACCACTGTGTGTGGTCAGCCACCTCACTGTGTGTGGTCAGCCACCCCACTGTGTGTGGTCAGCCTCAAGAATGCTTCACTTGGGCCTTCTGTTGAGAACCCATCCTCCTGCTTCAGCTGATGGAGTGTCATTAATAAAGGGTCAGAGTATATCACTGCCTCTGTGTAGGAAAATGTGGTCACAGCAATGAGACACACAGTAAGATCAACAGACATACTGAATGGTGACAATAAGGTAGTCCCCGTGGCTGAGTCAACTCATACAGGCCTCAAACACCCCCCCACACACACACACACCACTAAACCCCAGGGTGCTTACATGAAAAGGTTCAGATTGTAATCTCTATAGAGTCACAGGCTCAGTGAGTGACTCTGTCCCTAAAGTAGGGAGATTTTGCTGCTGTGACATAGCCCCCATGACTTGTAGCACCAAGGGCTTATTTCTTGCTTTTTGCATCCACTGAAGATTGGGTATGGATCATATCCATGTTGTCCTGGTTTGGGGCGCTAAGCAGATGGATGGGTAGGTGCCTATCTGGAACACTTGACAGTCTCAGGTTAAAGCAAAGGAGACCTGTCAGGCTCCTGCGATGGCTAGCTTTTTGTTTGTTTGTTTGTTTGTTTGTTTGTTTTTGTTTTTGTTTTTTTGAGACAGGGTTTCTCTGTGTTGCCCGGGCTGTCCTGGAACTCACTCTGTAGACCAGGCTGGCCTCGAACTCAGAAATCCGCCTGCCTCTGCCTCCCAAGTGCTGGGATTAAAGGCGTGCGCCACCACCACCCGGCCACTGGCTTTTAAAGATTCTAGAAATGGCAGTGTCATGATGTCCCCTACCCCCACCCTGTATGTCCCTGAGTGACGCTGACCAGCAGCTGGGTGCACAAAAGTGCACAGTTTTTGCCTATGACCTACTTTTCTTTCTTTCTTTCTTCCTTCCTTCCTTCCTTCCTTCCTTCCTTCCTTTCTTTCTTTCATTAAGGAGTCTGGAGAGACAGCCATGAGTACTGGGAACCAAACGCTTATATTTTTGGTTGTGAGCCTAGCCTTTAACGGCTGAGCCATCTCTCCAGCCCAGCTATGACATTTCTATGCCCTCCAAGTCATGAAATATTTTTGATTTTTTATATACTTTTGAAACAAGGTATAATATAGCTCAGAATGGCCTAGAGTGTATGAGTGTGTGTGTGTGTGTATGCATATACATACACATACATATACATAGCCAAGGCTGTACAAGATTGACCTTCTGATCCTCCTGCCGCCACATCCTCAGTACTGGGGATTCAGGTAGGCTCTATCATACCTAGCCTAAAATAATTACTATTATTTTTTTTTTAGAAAATAAATTCTGTACTGAATGTACTTTATTTCTTTTGTCATTTTACCCAAACAGAATAAATACAGTGACACATGGCATTGCTATATTGTATGAGAGATATGAAATCTGAATATCTTTGAAGCGCTCAAGAAGATATGAGAAGTTATATGCAAATGTGTTATATGCAGATATGAGGGACATGAGCCCCCATGGATTCCGGTGCCTTCTGGGACACCTAGAATCAACACTGAGGGGCAACTATGGAATCCCACAGTTTAGCTCCTGACACCAGACCCCCTCACTTCTAGTCACCTCTCACCTTTCTCCTAATGGTTATGTGTACCATCTATCATAGAAACCAGCACTGGGTTCAATGACCGGCAAAGATCCTCACTACTGGTTTCTGGTTCTCTGCAGGGAAGCAGCTGAGAGGAGCTGCTTTCCACTCGGGGGCCTCACAGGAGAGATGAGCTGGCACTGGGAAGCCCACTCCTTGGTGCCCGAGGCAAATCCATTTCTCAGTTCCCCTCGTGAGGAAGGATGGGCATGTTGGTTGAGCATGGATGGAGGCAGGGGATTTCAGCCCATAGACACGCAGACTCTGAGTGGGGGGGGGGCAGTGCATTGTCTATTTGTGGTATGCGTGTTGGCCAAATAGAATAAGCTTCATCTTCACAAAGCAAGTTGTCACCAGGCTACTGAGACAGTGCAGCAAATAAAGTCGCTTGCTGCCAAGGCTGATGACCCTAAGTTCTTTCACTGGGTTGTATGTGGTGGCAGAAGATAACCGACCCCCCATATGTTGTTCTCAAACACACACACTAAATTATTGTAGTGAAAAAAATGTCTTTTTAAAGAGATATATATTATTGTCTTCATTTTGTAGAAGACTGGCGCTCAAACCTATGTTATATGGCACAAGTGGCCACTGTTACCTCCAAAGACATGCACTCCATGAAGACTTTAAGCATTTTGTTATCGTGCATGTACACACACACACACACACACACACACACACGGACTCTCTAGAATAACCACTATTATCTCTTTTGGGGCGTGCGGATAAGATTTCCTCTGTGTAACCACCCTGGCTCTCCTGGAACTTGCTCGGTAGACCAGGCTGGAACTCAGAGATCTGCCTACCTCTGCTTCCTGGAGTACTGGGATTAAAGATGTGTACCACCATGCCAGGCTATACCACTATTATCTCTTAAAGGGACTGCAATAAACTGCTTCTTGACAAAATATGGGAAGTGTGCCATGTAGAAGCTGGTGTAGAGGAAGCGCTCACTAAATATTAACTGTTTCTCGTCATTTATGACCGTGCCTTGATCTGTTGTCCAAATTCCAACTTCAGTTCAGAGTTCTCTCATAACGGCCTCTCCACCCACCCTCCGGCTCTCTTCTTGTCACTGATCGCCTTAAAGCAGCCAAAGGTTAAAGGTCTGTCAGGGAAGCTGAGCATCTTAACTCTGAGCATCGAGACGTTCTCAAAGTGGCCGTTGGTGGCTGCTGGGTCCACGCTGTGATCACCGAGCATTCTCAAAGCCCAGGGCTCCATGTCTGAACCACATAAACATGCCTGTAATTCCAGCACTTGAAAAAGGGAGGCAAGAGGATCCTAAGTTCAAGGTTATCCCCAGCTACATAGAGAATTTAAGGCTTGCCTAGGCCTTGAGACCCTCTCTCAAAGAGCTACAAATATAAACTATAAAAACCCCAACCGTTATCCCTGCAGAGAACCCTCTTACCTTTGACTGAATTAGCAGCATCTGTGTTTTCAGTCTGGACCAACTCAGCTGTTGCCACAAGGGCCTATCTCCCATACAGATGTTTCTCTAGCCCAAGGGCCCATCTCCCATACAGATGTTTCTCTAGCCCATTATACACGTAATTGCTCTGAAGGAGACAGATTTCCAAACCCCCAAGGGAGATGGAATCTGCTGGCAAGATGAGGGTACATTCTGTATTCATTCTGGGTCCATCTGTTCTGTAAAAGTTAGTCTTTGCCGCTTTTGTTGTTGTTGCTATTATTATTATTATTGTTATTATTATTATTATCTTTTCATTATTTAAATTGCACCCATTAGGATGGATCTGCTAGGTAAGTAGTGTGCTCCATTCACTGAGATTTCCCCAGGCACTGATGGGCCCAGGACCTACCTACCTACCTACCTACCTACCATTGATCTCCGGTTTAGGGGTTGGTGAAGGGGGGCGGATTTAAGGGATCCTGGCCCATAGCTAACCATAGACCTGCCTCTTCTCTCCAGGACCGCAGAGGCATCCCGGAAGAGGAAAGAAAAACGGAGGAAGTGGAAACGCTATCTCCTGATAGGCCTGGCCACAGTTGGAGGCGGGACAGTGATTGGTGAGGCCCTGCTGCAGGGGATAGCTCGTGGTCTATCAGTGGGGAGGTGGCCCCTGCACGTGACAGGTACCTAAGCCAGTAGTAAATATGCTCATTAACACTGATAGAAGCTGCCCGTGCATGGTGGTGCTTGCCTGTACGCCCAGCACTTAGGAGATAGAGGCAGAAGGATCAGGAGTTCAAGGTTATCCTCTGCTGCCTCGTGAGTCTGAGGTCACCCTCAGCTATGTGAGATGGTCTCTAAAAATAAAAAATAAATAAAAATTAATTTAAGGAAGCTTAATTAATTAAATTAGTTTATGGAAGTGTTACTGCTGGAAGCTCTGTAGAAGGCAGCACATGGGAAAAGAACCCATTAAGCCATGTCCTGACTGAGTTCTTACCCTGCAGGTGTGACTGGGGGACTAGCGGCCCCACTTGTTGCCGCAGGAGCCGCAACTATCATCGGCAGTGCTGGGGCAGCCGCGTTGGGCTCAGTGGCTGGCATCGCTGTTATGACCTCACTGTTTGGTGCAGCTGGAGCTGGCCTGACAGGTAAGATTAAAAAGAAACGGGACCTTGGAAAAGATTTTTATCTACCTTGACTCAGCCAAAAGGATACCCCAGATAGCTTCTTGGGGGGTGGGGGGCAGGAATAAGGAAATATGCCCTTTCTCTTTCTGAGTCGAAGCCAAGCTAGACTTGCAGCAGATCTCAGAAGTGGTTGGACTTGAAATCAGCACAGCCAGGGTCAGGACAAAGTTTGGAAAACTAAGTTTCCCCATGTGTATCCCATGAGTCCTTGCTGCAGCAAAAGAGTCCAGCCCCGTCTGTTGCTGTCACTCAGGAAGTACCCAGGCCCCGTCTCTCGAGGCATGAGGTTTCCTTGTGTCCTTGTATTAGCTCTCCAGCTTCCCTGTGCCGGTGGCCCCCAGTCACACGCAGGCATGTGGAATGCTGCCAAGAATCACAGTTGGTATCAGCTGCAGTGAGGGTTAAGGCCCAGCAGGAAATGCAGGAGAGAGGTAGCAACTGAGGCAGGACAGGTCAGTGATTCAGAGCCTGAGTTCAGACCCTGGCCTGTGGCTCTAGCGGCCTTGGGCAGTGTCTTCCTGTCCTCTAACCAGGGACAACAGTGGCACCTGTCTTAGAGTTCACAAATGAAATGCATTTCTCCAGGAGCAGAGCACATAGACTCCATGTGTGAATATGTAAACACACTGGCTTGTGTCTATGTCCTTAGGATACAAGATGAAGAAGCGAGTCGGGGCCATTGAGGAGTTCATGTTCCTGCCCCTGACGGAAGGCAGGCAGCTACACATCACCATCGCCATCACTGGCTGGCTCGGGTCCGGCAGATACCGTGAGGATCAGGGTGGAGAGGGACTCAGATGGGAACCGGGTTTGCCTCTGTTGCTTGGTCCCTGGGCTAGTCTGTTCTGTGTGTCTCTAAGGGGTGGGAATGGGAGGCTTATCTCACAGAGAGGGAGTAGACCAAGAGTGGTGAAAAGACCGTCTTCTATCCATCCACCTGTGCACACAACCACCCATTATCCAGATAAGGGTTCACCCATCTATCGATCCACCCACCCAACCATCCATCCATCTATTCATCCACCCATCTATCCATTCACCCAACCGTCCACCCATTCATCCATCCATCCACCCACCCACTTACCAGTTTATCTACCATCCATCCACCCACTCGCTTGTCCATTTACCCATCTGTCTATGTACCCATTCATCTAGCTACCCATTCATCCACCCACCTATCCATCCATCCATCCATCCATCCATCCATCCACCCATCCATCTACCCACCCACTTGTCCATCCATCCATCTACCCAGCCAACCATTTAACCATCCGTCTATCTACCCATTCATCTATCCACCCATCCGTCCACCCAACCATCCATCCTTCCATGCAGTAATCTTTATAGATTGTCATCCTCCATTCACCTGTTCCATGACTGAAGCACTTGCTACCACAGCCAGTAGAAGATGCTGCCTACACTTATCTTATGTTCTCTTCAGGCACATTTAATGCCCCATGGATGGCCCTAGCCCGCAGCCAGGAGCAGTACTGCCTGGCCTGGGAGGCCAAGTACCTGATGGAGTTGGGCAACGCCCTTGAGACCATCCTCAGTGGCCTCGCTAACATGGTGGCCCAGGAGGCTCTCAAGTACACCGTGCTCTCTGGTAAGCACCCCTCACTGACTAGCCATGGTAGAACACCATGGCACCAAATCCTTGCATGTTTGTAATACAAGGGAGCCTGGCTCTGTGTGAGAGACAAAGGGTGCAGACAAACCTGGGGTCGCATGCATGTCAAGCGAGCATTCCAGCCTGAGGCAATTTGAACAGCTTGGCTCTGTCCCATGTGTCTCTCAAAGACACCAAGCTGGCCCATACTAGTGGGAGAGATGCAGCAGAGGTGGTCTCATACCCAAGGCTAGCTCAAGCCCCTCCCCCTACTTACTGTCTCTTTGCCTTAAATAAACAAGTCTCCTGGGTTGAGCAGAGCGGTGGACCTAGGGTACTGGATGAATGACCAAATGGGGCTATCTTTGGAATCTCACAATGGCATGTGCTTGGGTAAGAGATACAGTTCGTGCATCAGAAATGTTGTTTCAAGTCTCCCCATTTGCTAGTTAAGAGTCTGTTACTAGGAGACCTTTCAGATTCCTGGCCATACAGACTCCACCCACATTTACTAGAGAGGGCATCCATCAGCACACTGCCCTAGCAAGGCTCTCCCGCCTCATCTGTGGGCTCTCATCTCCTCAGGTATCGTGGCTGCTCTAACCTGGCCAGCCTCACTCCTCAGCGTTGCCAACGTCATCGACAACCCCTGGGGGGTATGTCTCCACCGGTCAGCAGAGGTTGGCAAGCACCTGGCACACATCCTTCTCTCACGGCAACAGGTACCCAGGAAGGGTATGGGTGGGGCGGGGGGAAGCTCGTATACTGATGATATGCCACGACTACCAGTGGGAACCCCAGCAGTAAGTCCAGCAGTAGAAGCCCAGCGCTTTGGGGAAGAAAGTCGTCTTCACTGCCACCCAAGTTTAGATGAGGAAAGTATCCTAGGATACACAAAGCCACCCTGTACCACAGCTCCAGGAAACATGACTCCGTCTTCCAGCCTTCCTCAGGCACCTGTATATATGCATGTGGCATACACACACACACACACACACACATAAATAAATGAATAAAAATAGACCTTTCTTAAAGATAGCTTTAAAATAAGATTTGGATCCAGGGCCAGAGAGATTTGATAAAGTGCCTGTCCTCAGAACCTACATTTAAAAACAAAACAGAACAAAAAAGTGTTGGGCCTGGTGGCTCATGCCTTTAATCCAGCACTCAGGAGGCTGAAGCAGGCTGATCTCTGAGTTTGAGGCCATTCTGGTCTAGGACAGTCAGGGCTACACAGAGAGACCCTGTCTCAAAACAAAACAAAAAACAAAACCAAAAACCAGATGTAGTTATGTGTACCTTTAATCTCATCACTGGGGAGGCAGAGACAAGTAGATCCCTGGAGCTCACTGGTCACCGAGGATACCCAAATCAGAAAGCCCCATGACCAGTGAGAGACACTCCCTCATAAAACAAGACAGGCAGCTTCTGAAGAAGAAAGCTCAGTGTTGACCTCTGGCCTACACATACACACATACACACATACACACACATACATACACATACACACACATACACACACACAATGTTAATACACATATAAACATACAGGCACACATATACAAATACACATATGCATATATATAAACACATACACACATTCAGAAAAACATATACATACACAAGCATACACATAAATGCATATATACACACACACATACATACATACGTACATACACATACAGTGTGCATACATGTATATATACACATATACAGGCACACATATACAAACACACATATGCACACACATACACACACAAACATGAATGCATATATACTTACACATATACACATATACAAACATAAACAACATACACATGAATGCACACATGTGTTCTCTCTCTCTCTCTCTCTCTCTCTCTCTCTCTCTCTCTCTCTCTTCCTCTCTCTCTCTCTCAAGGTAGAAGTTAATTTCCACTGGAGAAGCCTAGGGCAACTCTCAGGCACTCTGATGGTGTGTGTCATAGTGTGTCATGGGAGAGCGGCCCCTTGCCTTGAGCAGGAAGTTACAGCCACACCATGATTTATTTCCCTTGGTATGGCTTGAATATCTTGCTCCAAGGTGACAGTATTTGAGCTTCGGGAGGCAAGAGGAAGAGCTGAGGAGCAAAGGCAGGTGCCCTATAGCCTCTCAGGTACCCTCTCCTTGGCCAGAGACCACACTTCACTGCCCAAAAAGCCAGGAAATTTAGTCTTTACTCTGAAAGGGCAAGTGGCCAGCTGAAATTCAATTACTGTGGACAAAGGGGAGTACAGCTACTGAGAGACCCAGCAGTTTCTGCCAACGTGGGAATGTTGCCTGGGGAACTGCTAACACCAGCCAATCCTTGTAGCTTTCCCTCCCAAAGCTAAAAGGAAAACCAGAGTAGCCCCTTGGCAGATCCGGCTGGAAGGCAAAGACCAAAGTGACTTTGGCTAAGCAAAGTGAACTTCATCACCTCCGAGGTTGCAGTCTGGGTATCAACAACCAGGAAGGGTGATGAGTAGTAACATCCTTGCCTCACACTCAAGTGTACTCTCCTCACAACGTGGAGAGCAAAGTCAAACCTGCCTTCCTTGTGAAAACTACCAGGAAGCATCCTTTTCCTAGCCTCCTCTCCCTCCCTGAGGCCTATGTCCTCCACTGCTGGTCGACCCTCCTCCATCTTCAAAGCCAGTAATGTCTGGAGCATCCACAGGCTTCTTCTCTATTGCTTCTCCCTTCTGCCTGAGTGACTCCTATATCCCTCTGACTCCCGCGCCCCTCCGACTCCCGCGCCCCTCCGACTCCCGCGCCC